CATGCTCTCCATCTGCACACTGCCGTGGCATTTTACGTTTCTAAGGTAAGCGGACATGAAACTATTCAGCAAAACTATAAATAATAATCTAAGTTATTGAGTTTTTAGCATAATACTTCAGAATCTTAAAATTCCTTAATGTTTGTATGCAATTGTGCTAAATTCAACACTGGAATCAAGCAAATATTAATATGTTTGCATGACATTAGTTATTTATATTTTGATATCACTTAATTATACGTTTAATACATGTTGTCAAAGTGGGCAGAGGTGAGGTGGGTTCTAGATGAAAGGTCAAGCAGTAGTCTGACCAGTTTATTTTGTGATGTTTGAAGTTTTATTTTTAGCGCCTTGGAGGTGCTATGGTACCATGACGTGCAAGCATAGTCATAGTACCCTTGAATGAGTGCTCCTGCCAGAGTTTTCAGGGTGTTTTTGTTTACCAGAGAGGAGATCCGGTATAGGAATCTAGTTCTTTGATTGACTTTTTTTATTACATTGGATGCCATTTTGTCACAGGAGAGGTTTGCCTCAAGAATAGATCCTAGGTATGTAATTTCCTTCTTACTTGTGACAATAATGTCACCCACTGCAACTGAGAAGTCGTCGGATTTGCTGAGATTATGTTTCGAACCGAAGAGAATGGACTGTTTTACCCAGGTGTAATGATAATTTATTATCGGCGAGCCAGGTGCAGATTCTGCCGAGCTCGGAGCTGAGGGTTTTTTCAACCTGCAATCTGCTCCTGTCAGAGACCAGCAGGGCTGAGTCGTCTGCGAACAGGAACAAGTTGCAGTCACATGCTGATGACATGTCATTTGCATAAATTAGGAACAGTAACGGACCTAATATGCTTCCTTGTGGAACCTCAACACAGCTCACTGGGAGGGGGGGACGAGAGNATCTAGTTCTTTGATTGACTTTTTTTATTACATTGGATGCCATTTTGTCACAGGAGAGGTTTGCCTCAAGAATAGATCCTAGGTATGTAATTTCCTTCTTACTTGTGACAATAATGTCACCCACTGCAACTGAGAAGTCGTCGGATTTGCTGAGATTATGTTTCGAACCGAAGAGAATGGACTCTGTTTTACCCAGGTGTAATGATAATTTATTATCGGCGAGCCAGGTGCAGATTCTGCCGAGCTCGGAGCTGAGGGTTTTTTCAACCTGCAATCTGCTCCTGTCAGAGACCAGCAGGGCTGAGTCGTCCGCGAACAGGAACAAGTTGCAGTCACATGCTGATGACATGTCATTTGCATAAATTAGGAACAGTAACGGACCTAATATGCTTCCTTGTGGAACCTCAACCCCTAAACGCAAGCAGCAATAAGCAGAGAGATGCATAAATACATAATGTGGATAAGGGAGGACCATCGGGAGGACATGCTTTAAAAAGTGCTTGTGTTGTTTTCATCTGAGTTTCAGGGCATAGGCCCCTTCGCATTGGGAGATTGGGCTGTTACATAATCACTGTCTAGCCAATCAGCGCGTTGCCTTTTCCGTCTTCACGCCTCAACCAATGCAGTGCGTTGATTTTCAGAAGGTAACCGCCCCGAACAGACGGACAACAAAAATGGAGTTGTGAACAATTAGCAAGTTAGCACTCAAAGGACGTACAGTTTCAGTTTTTGTGTAATTACATGTGCATGAGTGGAATTTTCCGGATGAATAAGGTGGCATGATGCTATCACATCGTAGTCATACATAGTTTAGGTTTTCCAGCAGTCGTAGGAAGCTGTCCGACGGGTAAACAAACCGGGATCTTGGCCACGACAAAGGCAACAAGGCTTAGTAGCTAGCTAGCTAAAACAGTAGCATCTGATCGTTTTCTCATCAAGCAAGGAGCGTGACTTGGACAGAAATGGAGAAGGTAGATTCACAGCATGTTCTTTGTCTAATTATTGAGGTAAATGTATAACATAATTGGTTGTTATCGATTTAGATAGACTAGTGCGTAACGCTATGAGGTAGTAAACAGACCGTAGTGTAAATGCATTCTATGTCACTGAGTACCATATCACTGCCCATTTATTGAGTCAAATGTCAGAAGTACTTTTACTAACCAGTTGTGGATATGGTAGTTGTCTGGCAAGGGTTATTGTTCATATTTGTCTCCTCTGCTCACAGTCTGATTTCCTGAAAGGGCTACCGGTCTACAACAAAAGCAACTTCAGTAGGTTCCATGCAGACTCAGTATGTAAAGCATCAGTAAGTGATCTCCTTTGTTCTCAAAATGATTTAATCACGTTGTCAGTGTTATTAGGGTGTTTAAAGAAATAGTGTTACATGGTAGTAGTACTTCTTTTTGTTTTAGGTAATTCTAACCTGACATGAATATCATTTTTGTTTTAGAACCGACGACCTTCTGTGTATCTTCCAACCCGGGAGTATCCATCAGAGCAGAGTAAGTGTTTTAAAGAGCAGTCAGAACTACAGCCCACTTTCTATCACATTTGATCAAATATGTCGGTTACATCTGTATAACCAATATTATACTCTAAGAACAAATCACAGCTTTTCTTTTGCTTAGCAATGTTCTCATTTTCTGTTTCCATTAGAGGACGAAATCGCCTACAGTAAACACTCTGTATTGGAACAGCTCTATTACTTTTCTCGACCCTTTTAACCTTCAAATGATTTAATCAGTGTTTGTTTACTCCTCAGTCATCGTCACAGAGAAGACAAACATCCTATTGCGATATCTTCATCAACAGTGGGACAAAAAGGTAAACAGTTATCAAAGAGAGTAGAAGGAATCTAGGAGAGAGTTGATGCTAATTGTATTGTTTTATGACAGAAGTGATCATGTGTTTTGCTACTTCTGGTTTATTGAATTTGGTTTTCCTCCTTACTTTATCAGAATTCAGGCAAAAAGCGAGAGCAGGAACAAGGAGAGGGGGAGAACATGGCGCCTCCTCGGAAAATAGCCAGAACAGACAGTCGGGAGCTGAATGAGGATTCGTGAATTGCTTCGCTGATGATGCACGCCCAGCAGAGACTGATCTAAACAAAATGCACACGCAGATGCAGAATACATGTTTGCAAACCAAGGCGCTGAAAGTGAAGCACACGAGAATTCATACATTGCAGAACACAGCCGGCATAACAAGAATCCCAAAGTAACATTGTTCCTAATGTTTGCATATGACTTCAAGTTTCCTCTTTAACCAAAAACCCTTTCCCTCCTTTATTTAGACACAGTATGTTCTTTTTTCCAACACACTTCTGCCTCAGATTTCACTCTTTGTAGTTTAAATTGAACATACATCTACCTCCTTCTTTAGCCCCTCTGTTTTTCCTTCATCCAAAGCTCACAGTTCTCTTATCAATATGGAGCGCCTCTGCTGCTCTTAAGGGGTTTACAGTTGTAGTTATTTATACCATCTCTGATACATTTGACTTATATTAGTGGTTCGATTGCATACCATGTTCTTTGGCTCCTACTCCATAAGGACATTTGTGTTCTTAATAACATAACGGCAGTGGTCCATAATGCTATTTTAGCTCATCATCTATGTGATTACTGTCACTAGAATAACTGAAAATAAAACTGCATTGTGTTTGTTGATTAGATTGAATAATAATCAATTCAGGGTTTGTTATGGTCGGTTGCAGAATAAGAAGAGTGCTGAAAGAAATGTTCTTGCGTTTTCTCCCATTGGATAATGATTTATTGCCTTAATTGAAAGTGAGTGTGTTTTCACTTCCCCATGGTTTACTTTGTTTCAGGTAAAGAAATGAACCACTGTTGAGTTGAAAGGATAGCGAGTAAAGCCAATCATATCTCACTAGAGCAGGGGTGTCAAACTCAAGGCCTGGGGGCCAAATCCGGCCCGCGACTTCATTTTATGTGGCCCGCAAGAGCTTGCAAAGAATATAATATGTTTATTATACGGTTACATGCCGTTATACAGAAGCACATTGCCAATAAACAACATGTCCCACAATGCATCTCATTTTGTGACATGCGCACTGAAGAGACTTGCCATTATTTGCCCTAGACTTCTGCATTCAGACGTAGTTAATTATGAAGTTATTACCCTATCCAACAATAATCCAATGCAGAGGCAATAATGTAATATAATACATCATTTTATATATTTATATCGTCTTAAAGTTACAACCGGCCCTTTGAGTGCAACCATAATGCTAATGTGGCCCGCGATGAAATTGAGTTTGACACCCCTGCACTAGAAGATGCACCTTTGTACAGTGTGACCTGGAGAATTTTCTAGCCATATTCTAAGTTTGATGCTCAGTAGCTTGAGATCACTACTTTGTTAGCAGTGCTTGAAATTGCGAGGGTAGCAAAGTATTTGATGGATTAGCTGATGACTACAGGTATGCTTCAACTTATAAATGAGCTGCACTGCTTTAAGGCTTCTTGTAAGGACAGCTGTCGATCCTTGTTGTAAATGTTCCATTCTCATTTGCTAAGTAGGTTTGAGTGATATCAAGGAAAAGTGTGTTGGATCTTAAAGATTTTGACCGCAGGGCTAAATAATCAGCGTTTTGTTTGCTGTCCATGAATCAAGTGAAGCTCATCATAATCGGTCTTTGGTAAACATTGTATTCGTCGTGTATATATATACAGTATATTGTGACCCTTCAACCCTTTTATCAGGTAACAAGACGACTCATTCTGATTTAGTCTTCCCCAGGTTAGCCATACTGTTATTTCATTATATCTAGCTAATTTGTTCTTGTACATTGGAGGAATACAAGCAAACAAACAAAAGCATTTTGCTAAATTTGATTTGCACTATTAAAGAGCTCGCTATTAATATCACTGCTGAAAATTGTTTGACATGTACGATATAGCGTTTGGAACAACTTACAGTTTAGTCCATAAATGTAAATGTTTTCTCTGTTTACATTTTGCTGTTCAAACATCACAGTACCGGTATATATGTGCGTTCTGGCTGCTTATATAGTAGAATACACACTGCTATGGCTTCAAACAGGAGACAGTTTTATTGTCCTGGCTCTTCTTAGGAGAGTGTGCTAATTCTACTTTTGTGAAACGGTTTGTTTTCCATCGCCTGATTAAGTTCGGAATGTGTTTAATGTTAAATGGTTTGCTTTGAGTTAACTGTATAAATGTATTGCTGTCTATCTCAGGTTTCATTTTTTAAAAGATCACAGTATGACATACAGTCCTTAAGCTCTTAGTAAACAGCAACTTTTTGTTTTTTCGGTGTAACAGAGGAAAATCACCTTTCAGCACTTATTTGTAGGTGGAAAAACTGTAGTTTTCAATTCCATTGAAATCCCTGGAAAATATATCCTTCTTAAGTGTGTGTCGATATAAGAGTGTGTATATTCTGATTTCAGTTTTATCATTTTCCCCAACAATTTAGTTTACATAAATGTCCCTCCAGGAAATACCTACCACCCAGTGATTATATTTCAATGTTAACAAAATCAGCCAATGCTATATCTCTTGATGGATGTTTATTAAAGTGACATTTATTTGCATCAAATAAGTACATTCGCTAATTCATGTAGTAAAATAATTCATAGAAAATCAAAGTTAAGAAAAATAGAATATATTTTTCATGGTCACAGTGAATATAATCTGACCTATTGCGGAAGAATCTGATGGCTTGGAAAGTGCTTCACAACTGAAAAGATATGATGGAGGTGTAACGCATGCAGAACATGCATTCAGTACTGGCATCAGGATGAGGAACACACCTGGGATGGGAAGCTGCTGTTATTGTCCTTTGACAAATGGCTCATTCATGATCAGGTCCTGATTCATAAAAAAGATCATTTACATTAACATTATCGGTTCTGGTGCTGTTGAAAACCAGGCAGTCATGCATTATTTTACCTTTCAGTTAAGGTCTCTACATCTCTGTTCAGAGGGTTACACTTACTGTACATATCTTACATGGAAGCTAGTTAATAAAGTGGTAATAAATACAGTATAATACTTTGTGCAAAGTAAGTTGCATCAAGAGTGAAGTTGGCTGACCTTACATGTGGTCCTTTTGAGTAATGTGTTCTCCTACGGTACAGGTGTGTCCTTGAATGTTGCATTTGTCCACTGCTCTCCTTTCATAACATTACACTGGTACAGTGAACATCTATTAGCTCTTTGAATTATCTGAATCAGTCAATTGTCTTGAGTCTCCTTTATCGGACTCATTGGAGGGGAGTTCCTCCAGGCTTGAGTTTAAGTCGCCCCTGCTGGGCTGAGCGTTAGCAGGTTGGGGCGGTGCTTGTGTCCCGTTCACACACACCACAGTCCCCTCTGATTTGCTGAAACTGAACAGCTTCCCAGGACTGAATGTCCTATTGGGGGACTGTGACCTCTCGGGGCCAGTGGAGGGCGAGGCCGAGGTCCCCGTGGAGCCCTGCGCCCCGGTGGCCACTGCAGGCTCTTTTTTCACCTCGGGCGACTTCAAGAACTTCAGAAACCCTGGGAGCTTGGCCTCTCCTCCCGTTGGGGACTGGGCTGGGGAGCGTGAGGTACCGGAGGAGAACTTCCCCTGGAGAGGGATGATCTGCTTCAGCTTCATCACGTTGTTGTTCCCCAGGAGAGAGCTGGGTCTCTTGGGTTTGTCCCCTGCCTTGCCCCCCGATGCCTTGTCATGGTGGTGCTGGTGCTGGGCGTCGGCCCTGTGCTCGCTCTCCTGCCGGGCCTCCGCCTGCTGCTCCGCTTGGCGCTGGAGCTCCTCCTCTCGCCGGCGTCTCAGCTGATGTTGGAAGTGCTGCTGGGCCTGCTGTTCATGCTTCTGATGGAGAGGTGTGTTAAAATGAAGACACAATAGGAGAAGGAGTCACAGGTAGGACAAGGAAGACACGGTGATAGAGACGATAACACTGCATGAGTGATGCTGAGAGTAAACTGCCATTTCTCATTTTGCATCTTCAATGTTGAAGAAGTTGTCATCCTATCCAGTAGAAGGCTCATATAAACAAGCCTGTTTACAATAAATGTGTATTTCTAGCTTGACAAGACTTATCGGAGACACCATCAGGACACGTGCTACTTATGTGATAATAATACAGACAAAAACATAGTTATTTCTCCTGGGAAGTCAGAAAGAGCTGCAACAATCAGACCAAGGAACACAAAGGGGTACGTTTTTAGAAATACGATTCCAGCAAGCCTTAGTTTGGCCGAAGGTCTTTCAAGCTATGACACAACCATACCTTGAAAGCTTCCCTTCGTCGGTACTCTAGCTTGGCCATCTCTTCTGCTACCCAGCCAGGGATATCAGGGATGGCAACATGGATGATGTACTTTAGGAGGATTGCAAAGTGCTGTAAACCACCGAGACCACAAAGGGACAGGCTCAACACACAGGTACATCAAGGAACATTCACATTATGTTTCTCAAGCCCTATTCGCACAGGTGCAGTTCTACCAGGGGACGTCTGTGTTCGGGTGCACCGCATTCACGCGGGATGTACTAAGTCAGAATATTACTTGGATTTACTGACATTATACAAGGACACAATATCAAGGCTCTCTGCTTATAATAGAAATAACAATATTATTTTAATATTTATATTCTAAGTATTATGTTAAAGGCCTATTTAAGTTTTATAATAATTACCACATACCTCTTGCTCCGGTGCTATTGGGTCTCTATGCTAGATGTGTCCTCTTGATTATACACCAAAAATGCTGTCAAAACTTAATTTGTAATTTTATAATATTGTATTTAATAATATTAAATTATTGACCAGAAACCAAGGTCCAGATATACCAAGAGATTGAAATGAAAGACTACCTCCAAAATTATTTAAGCGGTCCCCCGATAACAGTAGTCTGGTGTGAATAGGGCTTTATTCTGTTTGTTTTATTTTCTTACATACCAAACAGCACATCTCATACACATAACAAAACCTCTTGTGAGGTCAGGTATATAAAATATTTTGACGGTTTTACAAAACCACAACAAAAAACAGCAGGCCATGCACATTTGTATTTATTGTGTAGTAATACAAAGTTTGCTACTGGGGAATAAAAGTACATTGTCTTAAAACGACAAACTTAGTATAGACAGTACAAGCAGAGTGCGTACCTCCAGTAATACGATAGAGATGATGGTCATCTCAGGACTCAACCAGGGGAACAGACGCTGCAGCTGTCCACACTGACCAATCAGGTAACAGTTCACTATAATAGCTATCAAGCCCATGGCCTCCATTGCAGTCTGATGTTGAGAGAAAGAGAAATGTGCACAGGCTATGAGATGCAGCCTGGAGGGCGTTTGTGACATTTACCCAGAGCGAAGCACACTGACCTGCCACTGTCCGATGTTCTCCACCCGCTGTCCAAAGGGCCTCTGCAGGCCGGTGCAGAGCTTCAGGGCGTCGCTGCGGATCTCGATGATGTTGTTGATAAGAGCACACATGGCCGCCAGTGGAAACGCAGAGGAGAAGAGCACCACGTAGCCAAACTGGATGAACATTTCTTGGTAGTCCAGAAGCGTGTCCTTGTTTGGTCAAACAACATAAAACAATGGTATTGTTTTCAGCGGCAAATTCAAAATAGTTGTTTTTGTATGATAGAAGAAAAAATGAACATCAAAAGATCTACCTCATATGTCTGCATACAGCTCTCAATCTCAGCTTGAGTGAGAGTGACCGTTTTGGGTTCCTCTGGTGGATCGATCCATGACTTCTTATTCTCTTTCGCCTCACTCACGTTCTTTCTTCTCTGACAGAAAGACTGCAATTCCTTTGGAGAGGACATAGTTGCATAATCCTTGGTCTACAATATTTCTAGTAAGTGACAATAATGACAATTACATTTCTTCAGCTTTGGAATGGATAGTTTCATTTTCATCAGTCTACAAAGATGAATGACATCTATGTCTCGAGATCTGATACAACTTAAGGAAGCCCTGCTATGCTAATCTTGTTTTCCACTTTTCTGCAGTGTGTTCTATAGGTTTTTGTGCATGTTATTGGTCTGCAAAGGAGTTTCTCTCCCACACACTCTTGGTCATCTATGCCGTCAATTCCACACGGCTGGTTCAAATAAATGATATAATAAGACTTTCAACAAAGGATTATAATATACAAATATATCAAACTATACATTTTAACATATGGCTCCTACAATGCCCCTTTCACTAGTTAAACTACATGAAACAAGAGTTTGGATCATCTATCATTTTTTCGTTTATTTAAAATAGTGAAGGTGGCCTGGCAATTTAGATAAAATTGAAAAGAAATGGACAATGAATCCTTTACCAGCAAACTGAAAACAAAGAGGCCAATCATTTGTAATAATAAAAATATACCACATACCTGTGCCGGCGATTCCCAATCGCTGTCCTCATCACAGCTGTCAAACATACTGGGCGGATCCATCCCTTCCTCCACCATTGTGGGACTGTCCTCCAGGAAGCTGCGATCCACTGGCAGCGCTTCTGTCGTGACGTCCTGGTAGTCGACCTTCTCAGTGAAGCTGACTTTACGATTCTTCAGATTGCCGTCATTCATGTCCCACTCTTCTTCTGACAGCCTGAATCCGGCTTTCAGATCCCCTCTTCTCTTTTGCTCTGGGTTTCCGTTGGCCGTGTGACTGACAGGGATCCCACTCGAGCCCAGGAAGGAATAGGCTGTCATCGAGGCCTGGACCTTTCCCAGAGCCAGGCGGCCGTACTTCAGTACGATGGTTTGAAGGAGCTCCCACAACACCTTGGGGGTGAAAACGCCCAGCTTGTTTTGCTCGTAGAGATAAGGCTGGAGGACCTCTTTGATATTCTGTAGGAACTGGCGGAAGATCAGTAGAGTGGCAAGCATCTGTGAGCAGAAGGACAACCAAACCATTCCAAAGTTGATTAGCAAACACATAAAGATTTTCAGTCTGACTGAAGGTACAAACGCAGGTCACTGATCCCGGGACATCTACTGGCACATGACTTGACAATGAATCTACTCAAAATGTACTTCAGACATACAAGAGGACACATAGCTGTCCAATCATTGCTTTAAGGTGGGCTGAAATATTAGACTTTGGGCCCCAGTAGCTCCAGTTTAGGGACATATTGGCACTTTAAAACAAATATGTTATCTTATTGTCTGCGATATTTCCAACTGTTGTTATTACCTCCTTAAGTCGCTCCATGTCTTTGAGGTAGAATCCGATGTAGAAAAGGCTGAGATAGGAATTGATGAATTCAAACTGTTAAAAAAAAGAAAGAGGAAGTTAAACACCCACTGAATCGAGGTAAGTTCTAATTGTGCCACAAACAGAGGAGGATGCATGGCTTACAAAGACCATCTTGATGATGAGATTATTCTCATAGGCGCTCTGTAGTCTGTAGTTCTCTGAGTGAAAAACACAACGTGAAACATTTGTACAGCAAACAAGCTTTGGATATCATTTGGATATGCATACACAGGAACTTCATAGCTAAAAGACTCATGGGCAAACGTATCAATTTCAATGTATTTTCTTATAAAATATTTCCTTTTAAATATATCACAGAGATAACACTTCCACTGTTATGCCCAGACTGTAACTTTGTGTCTCTTACCCATGTCATTGAGCCATTTGGCAATCTTCTTGTACACTTCATCACAAATGGTCACAGTAATGGCCAGCAGTATCTTGGGAATAAATCTTGTGATACTGGGTAGTTCCTGAATCTCCATCACCACTTCCTGCGCGGTGCATTAGAAACATGATACATATTTAATAAGTGATATTCATCCATATCTACTCCCACAGCTATTTTTAAAAGGCTATGAATACAAACTGGCAAGAGGCCCCTTTGAATGTGCTTTGTTTAACCTGTTTGTAAAATAATGCGATGTTTTAGTATTGATTTCAATATGGCCTGGTTAAAACTGCTCACAAGAGTTCTGTGTAGACAATATCATCCCCATATATCAGCCCCAGAAAGTATCTACTCCAATTCTTGTAATTTCTCGATATTGCTGTGTTATCTGTTCCAACCTGCAGTTCCAGGCAGAGGAGCATGGCGAGGAAGACGAAGCAGAGACAAAGGATGCAGATGGGCAGGCTGACCAGCCATCTGAACATCGCTCTCTTCCAGGGCGGATAGTAGAACTCCTCGCAGCCCGTTACTGGACTGCAGCGCTTCACGCCCTGCATATACAGCAGAGGAGGAGAAAACAAGAAAGCAGGAAAGGTATCAGACTCTTTTTTTTGTGTGACTGCATTCATCTACAGGAAGAATGGATTTGAAATGACTGTGCAAAATGTACAGCATAATAACGGCTTGCTTGTGTGATTGCATTTATATTTATGCTGTTGCGTGTCAGGTTAAAGAAATACTTGAAAACGACCCATTTCAGAATAATATATGTTATATTATTGAATTATCATTAGAAATGTGTTCATGGAGCTGGTGCATGGTGTAAGCTGTAAACAGTTTTAAAAAATACAATATTTGCTCTTGGATATAGTGGAGTATAAAATAGCAGCTTTACCAAAAATACCACAAAGTAGTTGTACAAAAAACCCCAATCACACATGAGCGATTGCTGTCTATCCTATCCACGTTCTTTTTATTCTTATCATTACGTCACATCCTTCTGAATCAACATGCTGCTGTTGCCAGAAGTGTCTCCCTAAAAAGTTTTGAGCCCAACGTGGGGCTCGAACCCACGACCCTGAGATTAAGAGTCTCATGCTCTACCGACTGAGCTAGCCGGGCCTGTTTAACCCTTCACTCACATGTCTTTTTGTAGGGGCAGTCCCCCTCCCCCGGTATCTCTACTCATACCACACAACAGGAGGTGGGGTAAGGCGGGAAAGTAGGGCTGCCCCCCCTCTCCTCTGAGAGCACGTGGGGAATGAAGACACTCTACTTGTAAACATGAGGATCACATTTCCTGGTATTGTCTGCGACTGAAAAGTTGTGCAAGTGCTGTCAACCAATCAGACTGACACATTGCAAGGTTACCTTAGGATAGTGAGATAATATCTCTTTCTCAAAGAATGAGGAAGAACACTTGGGAGTACATTTGGGCAAATACAGCAGGAAGGAACAAAATGTTTTAGTAAACCACAACTAAACACACTCATGCTCTACCGACTGAGCTAGCCGGGCCTGTTTGTATACGATATTTTAATACACTTTTATGTACTTATTTTGATGTGTAGAGAGTCTACAACATGTATGTATTCACAGGATGTGATTATTATGTTTCAATTTAATATCGACACACAATTGGAACACACGTCGGCGGATTCACCAATTTCGTTGCAATAAATTAATAGACAAAAATACCACAATATTACAACTGAAATTTTTTTTATAATTTTCATGTATGAAAGTATCCCCCTTTCATATTTTCCAGACACTATCGCTTTATATCTTTATTTTTAGTTCTCTATGACATTCACTGAGAGATGTTATTTTGTCAAATCTCGTCCTACAATGTTTCTATAATTATCCTCCTCCGCACGTTTTGTCTTTTTACTTAATTGAAATAAAATTTGTGAATTTATTATGAAATCTAATTACCAGGAGAAAATTTATTCTTTTTTTTGAAACCCCCATAGCATGTCCTATTTATAATTCGGACTGTTTCATGAATTGCAGATTATATAACGAAGGACGGTTACAATTATACCAACTCTCGTGAATAAAATATTACTATATATGTATACTTGAATATAGAGAATTTACATCATCTATCATATTCTTTACACGTCTTATACTGTCAAAATTTACACCTCCATATGTTTGTGTATAACTATCATACAGAACATTACCGACAACTCCTTTGGACACTGGGTTTCTAAAAGTAAGTGACGTGATGTGCATCAACACATATACTATGTCTCAGTAATAGGCAAACTTAGGAACTTAGAACTTTCGCCTACACGTTTTATCGGTAATATGTCAGAAATTAATTGATAATCATCTCTTATTGCTCATTACTTACTATGAAATATGAGCAAAGGTAAGTCACAGTTAACGTCTATTTACAAATTCAGAAGAGTTGTGCGGTTGGATACTTTATAGAGGGGACTAACAACCGGGAACCGTTAGTCCAATTGGGAGACTAACACCTCATGCTTAATGTTTCATGTTTACTCGACTCGACAGGTGCACCCATCTATATTACGACGCGTAATACCTGTTGTTCGCTAAAAAGTGGGTAAATAATTAATATACAAAATTAAATATTGTTGTTACACAAATTATGACCGTTGAAGAATTAACACCCTTTTTGCCTTTTGCAAAGTCATGCTCTGCAGGGTACTCTTGTAAAAAAAGAAATTTGTTTATCGGTCGTAAACATTCAAGCCGCCCCCCCCCGCAAGCTAAGGTCAAAGACCTATTAACCGCCCAAAGCAACGTAAAGTTTGTCGCAAACCCTGAAGCCAGCATTGGAACCGGCGTGACGGTGAGGTTGTAGGTTAGGGTCTCGAACTTCTTAGTTAGTGCCCCTGTCATCAGGCATTTTGCTATCGACCCGCTAATACCATCACATCACAGGCTGGTAACTATAGCGAAAAATTTTTTTTTTCTGTTATTTAGGGCAGCCGAACTATAACTCATTCTTGTACAAATAATAACTTGGGAGTCGAAGGCCAGAAGGTCTGTGCTCTGCCTGTTTATTCTGCACGACGTCCGTGCTTTGTATGATGGTTATATTTATCGTCAACGTTCTTTTTCATACACTTGGGAAACCTTAATGGACCTTAAAGGACGTATTTAACCAGTATTTTACCTCCTTGGTGACGGACAGGTCTGTTTTTGTAACGACGTGCGAAACTTCAAACGTTTTCTCCGAGGACCTACAGGTGTCGTAGATGAGTTCCGTTTTTATAATCCACCCTGGTCTACTTGTGGTTTCAACTCAACAAACGCTTCCTTGTGTGTCTGCGATACACACCTTCCTTTTTTTCCGTGTCGTGTGTTGTAGTTTGGAGTAGGTTGACACTTCATACCACTCCCTCGTAGTACCGAACCCCGACGAAACGACGCAGTCCCGGACCTGTCTTAAAAACGTAGTAGCTGCCTCTTTTACTTAAGAGGTCAAATTAGTCTGTAAAACGACCTCTTGAATTCGGTAGACAGGTGGGTTAACTTCGGTTGTCTTCCTACCGCACTACGTTGTCCTGTTGCTGGGTTTCGGTCTTCATTTAAGTTGTTGTCTTACCGAAGGTTGTCTTCTTTATGCGGAAGACCTCACCGGGTCAGTCTCTGGACTGGAGTTGGGTTAACTCTACGACACGTACTGGAGTTCTCTCGCTAAGTGGTGGTCGTAGGTTCTTATAACGAACTTGACTTTGGTCAAAAACATTTCTCTTACCAGTGTTTTAAGGAGGACTGGCAACACGTCCAGACTATACGTTTGATATCCGCTTGCTGCAAACCAACTCCAATAACGACGGTTTCCTCCCAGTTCGTCAAATAATTTAGGTTCCCAAGGTGTATGAAAAAGGTGGGACGTGGACACTTACATATGGACCACACAAGTTATTTTTGTATTTGTCATATTAGAAACACAACCAAATCGAATTCGTCTGACACAAACAGATAACAACATGAATCTTACTTCTCAGGCTCTTTGTGTAAAATTCTGGTTAAAATACGCTTTAGGTCCACCTAGGTTCCCAAGTGTATGAAAAAGACGTTGGACATGTAACGGAAAATTTTAGCAAGACACACTGTGCTTTTTTTCCCCTTTTAGCACAACCACTTGTGCTTAGTTATCAATACAGCACTGACTATTGTGCGTTTACGGCACTCTGACCCACATAGGATAACACCGGTTATTCGGGCAAAGATGTCCGTGTAAAAATGGCCTCGCATATAAAGTAATACTAAGATGAACACTATCAGCTTGGTTACTTTTGGACACGCGGGTACATAACTAAGGTAGGGCTATCGACCGATATTTGTTTTGTTTTGCAGACGGACGAGAGGTGTTACTAGTTGTCCGCTTGCCTACCAGTTTCATTCCATGTTTATTTGTCTAGAGTGATTGGATCATCACAACGATTGAAATATTTCACACAAGAAAAAAATGTTCACACACCAGCGCAAGATCAGTGGAAACGAGTCGCGATGACGAACAATGTTGAAAAATAAACGGCAATCGAGGTCCAATTAGAGCGGGGTGGAGGCTGCATCGCACTCTCATACCGCCTCGAACCGAAAGATCTGCCTGTTGGTAAAACCACGAGCTTTGCTTTGGCCTAAGGACCTCGAATCTCCGCCGGAGGCGACGCCACACTTGTCCTTTTGGCCACGAAAAGTTCGAGGTCGAGACTTGGCCGGGACCTTGGCACAGCAACACTTTCCCCATACTCACTTCCCAATTTGTCCGGGCCGATCGAGTCAGCCATCTCGTACTCACACCAAAACAACACCAAATGATTTTTGTTAAATAAGGAAGGACGACATAAACGTGTTTACATGAGGGGTCGC